ATCTTGTGCGTGTGCATTCCTGTTGTGTCCGCAGTCATGTAAAAGTTTTCCTAGTCTCCTAATTTGGTTACTAGGTGGACCTTTTCCAATTAGTAGTCAAATCTATTCGATCTGTTCTGCAGCAGGAGGTACTTTTCAAACATAGCAAATAATAATAATAAACACTATTTAAAGATGAATACATTTTTGTAATTTTTTTGTCATTGCCCCTTACCTGTCTCTTACACCACCAGGGTATACCTATTTTCCACATTCCCTTTATTACAGATTACCTTACAATGTTTGAATGAATATAACATTTTACCCATGAAAAATCTAATTTCTCTTTTTCAATTTCATTTGAAACAATTGGTATATTACAATTTATTATCAAGGAAATCTTCTAATAAAGTTATAGCAAATCCTACTTAAACTACTGGTTGTTCTGCAGGATTAATTAAACTTTTCTTGAGATTGATCTCTCTCTAAAATCCAAAACCGACCTGATGTCCCCAAATTTATTTTCCAATGCATCCTGATTTAAAATTCTGCCCTTTTGTGATCCAATTTTTTTTCTTCCTTTAGAGTGGCTATTAGAGGTAGGTGTATGTAAGAAATAGCCAATCTCTAATCATTTCAAAAGTCCTTTGCCAATACTACATGTGCAGATTTTTTACTCAGCATACATTTTACTTTTCTAATAGATAGGAACTTTGTGCTGCCATTAAAGCTGTCCAGACATTCATCTACCTACCTACTTAATGAACACAAGTAGCTGTAACAATGGATCTCTGTTCCAATTTACCTAAAATAATTATAGTCATTATGTAATAATTTTTTTTTTTTTTTGCTTAGGCAGAGACCAATTAGTCAGACTTTTTTTTTTACTTAAAATGTATTTATTTACGTGATAACTTGTACCGATTTTGTTCAATTGGATACAATGGTTGGTTTAAGTGGTTAGTATAACTGTGTGTAATTATTTTTTTTTTATTTACTTGTTTTTTTTTTATTTAGATGTTTTTTTTTTTTGTATGTGTAATATATTTTTAAACACACACATTATACAGTGGTTTTCTTAATAAATTGGAAATTACTTACCTCTAGAAAGAAATGTGTACAAAAACGCGAGTTTGGTTCCAGAAATTGCTTCATGCAAAATAAACATTCCCCCCAAAGAAAATTAATTAAACAACAAAATCAGACTCAAAGAAATATACGGGGCCCAAATTAAATTAATTTTAATAAAATGCACATGTTCATAACATTGTCAGTTTTAATCGATATTTTGACGTCAAAAAACCAGCAACACCAGCGCCCTCTGAAAATGGTGTTAGTTTTATTGGAGAGAGATAGACATATGTAAAGATCAATGTAAAAGAAAAAGAGGGTCATATATGTAATTTAAATGGACCACCGAACATATTTTCCTATGTATGGTCCCAGTATAAAGAATAATACAGTAGCGACAGATCATTTTTTATGAGGTGTCCATATTTTTCTGCGCATGTCCGAAAATAAGCGACAAAAACGTCAACGTCAATAGTGTCAATGCAATGTAAATATGACATTATTTTTGTTTGTTTGCAGTGTATATTTTGAGACATTTTTATTATTTTAGTTTTTCATTTATTGTGTGATATTTTTGAAATGGCTTCTGCACCTGATCAGAAAAAAAAAGAGATGTGTCTATCGCCCTTGTCCATCTCAAACAGAGTAAACAGACAAAGGGACAAGTTATTTTGCATTTCCCATGGAGCCATAAAGGTATGTCTTGAGAAAATACTTTCAATTTTTATATTTGAAAACCAAATATTTATTTGACAACCAAATATTTATTATTTAAATGTCTTGAGGACAATTTCAACAAAAATAATGTAAAAAATATATAATTTCTGAACTACCGTCAATCTAAACATTTGTTATCAACTTTTTTATATTTTAGGGCCAACATGTGGTTAAGAGCTTGTAATAGGGAAGATTTGAGTAACATAGATGTGAACAGTCTTCATCGGAATTACAGGTTGTGTGAGAAACATTTTGAGAAGAATTTTTTTTCTAAAACGTTGAACCGTAAACGTTTATTGCCTACTGCTGTTCCCACATTTTTTATCCATCTAGGTCATCAGCCAAATGTATATCTTCTCCCTAGTACATCGACCAAGTGCTTCCTCTGTTGAGACTATCATTGAACATGAACGAGACATTTTTGAAAGCGTACCATGTGCAACCTTTGGACATTCTTAATCAAAAATCCTACCTCCACATTATTATAATGAATTAGATGTTCTTTGATTCACTATGTCCATTGATTAAAAATGTTCTGATTGACTACATCTAATCAAAATATATATGTATTTCTTGTAAAGTAGCAAAAAGAAAACAAAAAAATGTATTTTGTGGTGTTATTATTTTAACTGTTTTTTAATTTTTGATTTGTTTCATTTATACAATATTTAAGCACTTAAACAATAATATATATAATCTTATAAACAGTTGTATGATATATACGTTAGGGAAATTAGGACAAGGATGATTAAATTCTATTTCTTTCATAATATCAAAAAAAGCTATGGGATATACCAGACATTACACAGGTATTGCTAAAAATAGATATAACATTTTTTTATAATTTAAATATATAGATAATAAACTTTTCATTTGGAGTTTTTAGGCCTCCATAAGTGCTTTATTTGCAATCATATGTTAAAATCTGTGAACTATCCAAATCTTCACATTCTTTTGAAAATTTAATAAATGTATCACATCCATGTATGCCTAAAGCTTTTTTGATCAAATAGCCACAAACATATTTAAATGGATTTTGAACTATTATATCTTGTCCTGTAGTTGTAATTAGGAAGAAAAACAGCTTCTTGAGTGTTTTTATTTATTTCAGGATACAGAGAGACAATATTTTTTACATCTAATTGTAGCAAGTGCTTGTCCAGGTCTTCATTACAATTCATGGAATTGCAATGAAGATAATTTTGACAAAAACGTTTTTTAAATGCCCTTTCGAATTGTACAGGTGTTGGATTAATTAAATTCCCACCCTGTTGCCTAATGGACCCAACAAATTTTTCTAGACAGTCACTGTTGATTCTTCTAGCCATTAAATATTTAAATCCCGCAGCAGATAACCATTCCCATACAAATTTTAAACCATAAAATCGTTAAATATAAACATCTAATTTTTATGATGTGACGTTAATAGTATTTAATTATATACATAGGTAATATAAGCAATTGGGCAGCATTTTGCTTAACGGGTGACTTACAACAGGCATTTGCTAAAACTCATCTGAAGTCAAAAATTTGTACGTAGGAACAAAAATTTAAATAAAATAATTCTTGTATTGTAAATTCATTAAAAACTTACTAATTTGTAATTGTGTGTTTTAATAAATATTATTGTTATATGTTGTTTCACTTCTAAAAAGATACCTACATAACCTCATTTTAAATAAAAAAATAAGGTGCTGAGTTAATTTATTAGTTCCAGGAAGAAACCAAAAACTGTTTGACACATTTCATACAATGAATGGCATACAAAAGTAATTTATTTTATTCTAATGATAAAATTTTAAAATTGGCACATCTATATTTTCACCGGAACTCATTTATTTAAGTTACACAATATTTTGATTAATTTATTTGCCTAGAATACATTAAAATGTTATATGTACATGTTTTAATTTTTTTCTAATTGTACATCGCTAATTTGCAATTTTAGAGTTTACTTTTCTCCGTGTAGAAATAAGCGACAAAAACGTCAACTGTCATTGAAAATCTGACCACCCCAATGAACTGGAGTGGGGTAGAAAGCCAATGTGCATATTGTATCAATAGAACAAGATGCGACTCTATGGGCGCAGCCATTTTTATTTCTCATCTCACTCAGGAGTATTTATAATAACCATTTTCTGTTTCACATTGTTATTGTTCAATCCACAAGCTGGTGGATCAGACAATAACAAAGTGAAATAGAAAATGGTTGTTATAAATACTCCCGAGTGAGATGAAAAATAACCTGTCTTCGCCCATAGAGTCGCATCTCAAGCCTATTGACAAGCATTCTACCCCACTCCAGTTCATTGGACCACCCCGACATCAAAGAAGCCGACGCAATCTGTCGCTACTGTATTGTTCTTTATACTGGGGTATGGTGAGTTCGGTCTACGCACTCTTTTCACTATATTCACTCCTAAAGTACCTAAGGCGTTCGGGTACGGAAGGAGTTAAAATAAAAGTTCCTCTTTGACCGTTCGGAGATGGTGGAGTGGAGTGTGGATCGGGCATGCGCATAAGGTGATTTAAATTGATAATAAGTTAATTGTGAGTGATTCTTTAGTAAATAATTTTTTTTTGGTTCCCGTGAATATCATTAATATGGAAGAAACTTATACGGTCGTTACTGACAAGTACAATTAAATTTTAAGTACTGGTATGTCACATTGACAATTGACATTGCAGTCCGAGAGTTAAAGGAGTAAAATCATATTCGCACTCCGTTTACGCCTAATTACTACACTCCACTCTGGAGTGCGCAGCCCGAACTCACCTTAAGTTACACGTCTCTGTTGTCTCTGCTCTGAGATTATTAGGCATTCCAACGACCTGTCCAAATGGCTACCAGTGGGTACTGACAGTTTAGATATGGCAACCCTGTTGTCATGTTGTCATTAACAGGGTCAATGATACATATATGTTATATACATTGCTCAAAGCTGGTCGTTTGCGAGCAGCCATATTGCCTAGCAAATATTTATTAATTTGAATCAGTTTAGCAAAAATGTGTTTTAAAATCAATTTTCAGACTTTAGATATTTAAAAAATATTAACTGCTTATATTTTTACTTCAAGGCATAAGCTTATGTTTATTTTAAAAAATAGGGATGATCAATCTATGTAACTATCTATTTCACTCACCTTGTCAAATCACCAGGCCTACAGAGTTGCCATAACTTTGCCACATCATAACCTGTCAAAACCCACTGGTAGTCATTCAGTTTGGAATGCCTAATTTACATATGGATGAGCAATCTATAGAACTATATACTATTGATTATGACAACATCAGACATTTCTACTCTAACCTCAAACGATCAAAAATAAAATGTATTTTCAATATACAATATAAATAAAAATAACAAAATGGGTAACGAGCAGTCTTACATTCCAGGTATTGAAATAGTCCAAAAAGCCATAGAAGTTTCTGATTATTGGTCACAGCATTCAGCAGCCATTATTAATCCAGAAAATATTACCAATTTAACAGTTTTTATTGGAGAACTATTTGTCAATGGATCATTGTGGGTTTCTCAAACCCCTCTTGAGAAAAATGGAAAAGTACGAAACGTTTAGGTGTGTTGATTAATTAATACCAATATTATAATTTGTTTTAGAACATAATGATATATAGACATCCAAGTATAGTGAAGTATATATCTTCCTGGCAAAAGAACTCCAAATTTTATTTAGCTGTAGAAGAAATATGTCCGTTATCACAAGAGTTGCCAAAATTAAACGATCTTCAAATTTCCATAGGGTTATATTCTATTTTGAAAGCACTGAACTTTTTACATACCAATGCCTCTGTATCGCATAACAATATTTGTACAGCCTCTATTTATGTATCAAAGGACGGGAATTGGAAATTGGCAGGAATGGAGTATCTGTGCAAATATAATGATTTGAACTGTGATTATTTGACCAAAACCAAATCGAGTAGATATAGCAAATCTGTAGATCCTAATGAAGATAAATTTCTTCAGAACAAGTTAAATAGGAAAGATTTTATAGATGTGTATGCATTTGGGGTTTTAGTTTGCGAGATTTTGAAATCCAAAACCGACAGTAAGTTTACCTAAGAAGTAAATTTTAATAAAGATCATAATTGATATATAAACAGTACTCCTTCAACAAGTGAACATTTATAATTATTTTTGATTTTAAGCTAAGCTGCTTGCCAAGATTATATAATATACAGGGTTCTCATTAAGAATGGGACATAGAACAACTAAAGATTCTCTGAATAAAAATAAGATGATTAAAAGAAATGTTTCTGAAAGTTGAAAATTTAAAAATTATTAATGGCTATAACTTTTTATTACACAGTATAATTTTATGGTTATGTTTTTGGTGTCATAAGATACACTTATCATCCCTTCTAACTTTTATGTCCAATAACTTATAATGGATTATAATCTTGAATTTATTGATGTTTTTTAAATAAATCATGTAATCTTGTTGGAAACTTATAAAAAATTCAAGTTTAAAATTTCAGAGTATGTCAAAGAAGGCAGCAGAGCACCTAAGCAATTTTGAGATGAAACCTATGCCATATTTTTAAGCTATTTTTACACACTATTCAAAAATTTTATGCTCCTCATTTTTTGCAAAAATCAAGGTGCTCTGCTAGCTTCGAATGAAGTCAGCAGAGCACCTCAGTTTTTTTTTTTCCAAAAACAACGACACCATATTTTTAGGCTCTTAAAATATAAATCTTTTCATAAAAAACTGTTATTTTTTTTTTAATTATATATTTATTTCTAGAGCATAAAAATAGCCTAAAAACGTTACATAGTTGTTTAGTAAAAAAAAAACTTTAAAATGCGGATGTTTTCTGCTGTGCGAAAAAAATTATATTTCAAGAGTCTAAAATAGAGTAACATTAATATGGTGCGGTGTTTTTTTTAGAAAAAAAAACAAACCTAAAAAATCGAGTTGCTGTTGGCTTCATTCTACAGTTAGCAAAGCACGCCATATTTTTAACAATTGGCAATTTTTTTTTGGAACGTTTTATATTTTAAGAGCTTAAAAATGGACTTAAATGAGGCTTAGGGCTGTTTAGGAAAAACCTTTAATGGGGTCCTCTAGTTTCTCGGTTGTTTTTTTACGGCTTTTTCAATAATTTTTTACAGGCAAACCATGAAATAACAAATCTCATTGTTTTTACATAATCTTTATTAACATTTAAATGAGCTTTACTTTTTTGAAGACAAAATATATATTAGAATCAAAGTTATAGTGGCCGACAGGAAGACATCAAGTGAAGGAGAGAGATTCTTAACGGTGACCAAGATTGCGGCTGTTTTGCATATCTGAAATCAAAAAACCAAACGGCATTTTAATCTTCATATTTAAGACTAGCGATTGAACCAGAATGAATTCTAAATTACAAAAATTAATTTTTTTATACACTTTTGAAAATTAAATTCTATTTTTTACTCATTTTTTTCTTAAGTTTCTCGCTCGTAGAAAAAAAAACTATCAAAGTAATCATGATAATCCTGGTTGAATTGCTGTCTTATAACATATTAAATATGTCGTATAAATGTGAACAATATCGGTGCAGTAGTTTCTGAAATATCCTGGTCCCACCGTCAAGCACCTCCTTCATTTCCTGTCGGCCACTATAACTTTGATTCTATTATATATTTTGTCTTCAAAAAATTTGTAAGCTCATTTAAATGTTAATAAAGATTATGTAAAAACAATAAGATTTGTTATTTTGATGGTTTGCCTGTAAAAAATTATTGAAAAAAGCCGTAAAAAAACAACCGAGAAACTAGAGGACCCCATTAAAAAAACGGAGGTGCTCTGCTGGATTCGTTTGAATAAAGCACCCTGTAATATTAAAAGCTTAAAAATAGGCTCTACTGACTTTGTTCCAACAAAGCACCCTGTATTTTTTAAAAAATACTCATTTTTTTAAAGATTTTTATAACATTTCAAGAGCCTAAAAATAGCCCAAAAATGTGGTGTGGTTGTTTATAGAAAAAAGCTTTTAAATACTCAGGAGCTTTGCTGGATTCGTTCGGAGCTAGCAAAGCACCCTGTATTTTTTAAAAATAATTTTTTTTGAAAAATTTTATAATATTTTAAGAGCCTAAAAATTTGTTGTCGTTGTTTTTGGAAAACAAAAACTAAAAAAACTGAGGTGCTCTGCAGACTTTGTTCGAAGCTAACCAGAGCACCTTGATTTTTGCAAAAAAACGACGAGTATAAAATTTTTGAATAGGGTATAAAAATAGAATTAAGAGACCAATAACTTTCAATGATTTATTAAAAAAAGAAAACATCAAAAAATTTAAAATTATAGTCCAAATGAATCATTTATTTGAAAATTTTGAGAAAACTGCAAAAGTACTTTTTTTTTCTTTTAAACTAGTCTAAACATTGTAAAACCAAGTTCTGCGACGTAAAGTCTATAAAAATGCTGTACAAATATCAATGAAAACGAATCCTTTTTTTGTTTTTAGCGAAAAAACACAAAAATAGCGATGAACATGTAGAATTTCTAAAATAAATTCAAAAGTTGCTAAGAAATTGTATTATTAGATCAAAAATAAGTGAAAAAACAATATCATTCAAAATACTTAAACTGGGGTGTCGAGTAACTCGATCTCGATACGATTCATAATTCGATCGAATTATGAAAAGCAATTCTATCTGTTTTGACTTCGGACATCTTCGACTCGGATTTGATATTAAATTCCATAATTGCAATTCCGCTCAACGAAATTCGACAATAAACTCGATAAAATAACTCGATAGCTCTAGAGTAGTCGATTCGATATCAAATCATTAAAGTTTAATTTTTTTTGACATTAGGTATGAACCTTTTCTGCAGCAATGTGCCTTTTCTGAATAACCTCTCCTTGCATTAAGGGCCTTATTGTCTCTATTAAGTATATACGGGGTCATTACTATTTTATAGGGACAGTATCTACAACTTGTCGAGGGTGGGTTAACTCATGACATTTAGGCCTCACTAGGCCCATTGTCCATCCTCCCAATTAAATAGGGACCTACTAGCTCGTGAGTCAGGGATAGTATTGATATTTCTTAAAAAATAACAGATAGAAAAATGGTTGAATTTGATAAAAGTTGCGCAGTTTTGTGCTTATTCAAATGGTGAAAGAAAACATTTGATACCTACAAAGAAATTCAATATATCTGACAAAAAAAGAATTAATTAATTTTAAGAAATGACAATGCGGTAGTTCAGTATGATGTCATTTTGGATCCACTGACATTTAATTCTAACCAAACTTTTAACAAAAACATCAATAAATTTGACATACGTTTTTACTGTTTTTATTTCATATCAAAATATTGTTTACAGGTCATAAAAAATAGTTAAAATAGTTTAAAGGTATGTAATTGGTAACTAAACGATTGTATATTTGATACATGTTATCTACTTACTTTAGGAATATATAAAAGTGAAAAAAACGATATAATTTAGGTAAACAAAACGAACAAAATGTACTCAAAAAATCTACTGTCACTTTAATTGTCAGTGGAACCATAATTACATCATCACTGAACTAGCGCATTTTCCTTTTTTGTCCGATATTTTAAATTTCCCTATAGATATCGAAGGTTTCTTGGCACCATTTTAATAAGCACAAAACTGCGTAACTTTTATCTGTTACCGTTTAAGAAATATCAATACTGTCCCTATGAAATAGTAGGGACTCTGCATACTACTTGAAACATCAATAAAAGAATTTATTAATTACATAAAACGCTATAAAATATAAATTAATAAAAGTAGGTAATTTTTATTCAGCCGAAAAAGCTATCCACAGCGATTTTCAGAGAGTTCGAAAGGATCGCTTCTTTCCCTTCTTTCTTTAGCACAAAGCCCAATAATATTAAATAATAATATTTTTACAATTTATCCCATTACGAGTGATCCCTGCAACTCTGAAAGCACATAGATGGTATCGGGGAGGGACAACCGTATTATTATTATTATTATTTGCCATGGCGCTCCAATGGAACTTACAGATGGTGTCATCTAACTTATAGATGAGGATACCCAGAAAAAACCACAACTATCATCATAAAAAAATAAAATATTAATCTTATAGCTTATGGCTAAACCAAATACAATACAATTTAATTGTTGTCGGGGAGGGACGACTATTATTATTTTCCATGGCGCTCCGCGGCAACTTACAGATGTCATTTAAATTATAAATGAAAACACTACGGAAGAACTCCACCCATAAGAATAAAACCTAATAAATAATTAACGTCAAGACTAAAGAAATACAATTTGAGTTTTGTTGTTTGACGTTTAAAAGTCAGAATAGTTTGAATGCTTCATTATTTTGTCGAATTTCCGAAGATTTCCGAAGTCAAAACAGATCGAGTTATAGAATCGCTGTTTTTAATTCGATCGAATTATGTGTCGAGTTACTCGACACAGAACAGAATGTCACGACTTTTAACGTCAAACAACAGAAATTAAATTTTAATTATTTATTAGTTTTTATGCTTATGGGTGGGTTTTTCAGGGGTATCCTCATCTATAATTCAAATGACATCTGTAAGTTGCCTCGGAAAGCCATGGAAAATAATAATAATAGTCATCCCTCACCGGGCACAAACAACTATGCATTTAGAGTTGCAAGGATCACATATTTTTATTTATTATTATTATTATTATTATTATTAGGCTAAAGAAAGGATGAGTTACAAAAAAGAAACGATCCTTTTGAACTTCCAGAAAATCGTCGTGGAGAACTTTTTCAGTTAAATAAAGAGAACCTATCAATGTTTATAATATGTAGCATTTTGTATAATACATAATCAATTTATTGATATTCTAAGGATATAAAAGACCTCTGTTGCACGATAGGTTATCCAGAAAAGGCTTTGCCAGAGACATAGGTATGCTCTGGAAACTAAATTCCTTTCTTCCCTAAAATTTAAAACCACAGGCTTATTATTTAACCTCATTGACAGGTCATACCTAATGTCAGAATAATCCAACTTTAACGATTTGATATCGAATCGACTACTCGTTAAACGGAATTGCTTTTATGGATTTCGATATCAAATTCGAGTCGAATCGTGAAACGGAATCCCACCCCAGTTTTTGTTGACTTCATAATCTTCTCCACCAATAGTTTGTCATTCAAAAATTCCTGGACAAAACCTAAAAATCAGGATTGGCTGTTGACACAAAACATTTAATTTGATCAGAATATGTACAAACAATATTTATTGAACATAGTTTTCAGAAATGTATAAAGTAGATCAACTTGTAGATCAATAAGGCCACAGTTATTCGGTTACCTCCTGATCATTGTACATTTAACCCAATTGAAATGATATTATAGGGTATTACCAAGAATTATTATGACTGGCATATTGGTAGGGATGGGAATTCAATTCAAAATTATTTGTCATGCCGAAAAAATTATTCAGAAATGTTGGGACCTGAAGTTATATTTGAACGGGAGGATATTTTACCTGTAATTATTGATTTTAATGATGATAGCGATAGTGATTCTTATTCTGAATAAAGCTTTACTTGTTTATTTTTGTTCTATTTATCTATATTAGAAGAACTATTTCCGAAAGCTAAAATTGTATATATATGTTTAATGAATTAATTATTTAAAGTGTCAAAAAATGGAGTTCAAATTAAACATTAAAACAATAGTTTTTTTTATAAAATGTTTCTTGAGATCCTCGAATTTTGTAGCAACGTATATTTTCATGAGTTTATGAAGTGCATTGGAAATTTAATTGCATATACTTTATGATTCATTTGAAACCAGTTTGACAGTCTGTTATTTACTTGTCAATATATTTTACCTGTCAAATGTAATTCCTTTTGTCACTTCGGTTTTTACACACTACGGCTTCTTTGGCACCAAAAAAATGGATGTGTAGTCATCTGCGTCACTCTGAAATACGTCCCATTTCTTTCCTAGTCGAAGTCAGGAGGCAAAACAATTTTTATTCAACATTGAAATTAATATTGTACTTTTTAGGTGACGTACCTTTATTATTACCCTTCCTAGATTTTTGTAAAAGTGATTTACAAAATCCTGACATATCAAAAAGGCCAACATTCAAAACCATATTGGAGCACGATTTTTTTAACCACGATTTCATCATCATCCATTCGTTCCTATTGGAACTTCCCCTAAAAAATGATACAGAGAAAATGCATTTTTTCCAAAATCTTACAGAAAAATTACTACAATTCGATGAAGAGGTAGTCGCTTCACAACTTAGCGGTCTATTATTGTCCAGACTGGTTTTATTAAACAAGTCTGCACAAAATAGTTTACTGCCATCTTTATTGACGCCTCATGATGGTAAGCATTTTTCAATATCCATTTCCAAAATTGATATTCTCAAACAAATATTAAAATAATTGAGCATAAAGAAACTTAATTATTATTTTAGATGAAGAGGAAATTTCGACACTAATATTTTCCGAAAAGGGTTTTAAGAAATATGTTTGTCCAAAATTGCTGGATATTTTTAAAGTTCGTGATGTTGAAATTCGTCTGTTGCTTTTGAATTATTTCCCAAAATATATGCATACCTTTACCAAAGATGAACTACAAAGTAAAATCCTGCCTGAGGTATATTTTAAATACTTAATACATTAAGAAATACAGTAATAAAATTTCCTTACGTTTCTCTTTAGCTTTTATTCATCTTTTGAATAGATGTTAATGATTCGAAAGAGCATCCATTATTTTTACATGATTCTTTTAAGAACCAAACATAATTAATTCACTCGCGTTTATTTTTAGCTTTTAGTGGGAATCAAAGACACTAACGACCATCTAGTATCAATGACTCTAAAAACCTTAGCGAACTTAGTGCCAATTTTGGGTTCGACAATAGTGGTAGGCGGTAAAAGGGCAAAACTTTTTAACGACGGCCGACCAACGAACACAGTCCGGAGGTCCACCAGAAGCATAAGAACGTCTATCGCATCTTCTCGAGCCGTACAAGAAACCGACCAAATAAGTATAAATAGTTTAGCAACAGAACTGAATAATATAAACGATTTACCAGAACGACCGAGACCCGATGGCGAAGAAGGTGAAACGTCTACTGAAGAAGTAGAACCGTCCGTAGATGAAGATGTGGATAATTGGGAAGATTGGGATATAAACGAATCTCTTCAGAATAATAATACTGTTCATGAAACAATTTTGAATGAAGAAATGTCCATTCTAGATACTGAACCAAGTGTTATTCTAGATTCCGAAGTAAATGTTACCAATAAATCCAAATTAAAAATTCCAGATATTCTGGAATTAGATATAAAAAATCAAATGGCAGCCGAGGAAGAGGGCGACTTCAATTTTTTCCAAGATATGGAGCCAGTAATACAAAAGTCGAACAAATTTATTATAGATGATAGCAAGAACGAGGTTTCTTTAGAAACAGAACTTTGTAATAAACTTGCTGTAAATGCAACTGATGATGAGAACCATACAGGGTGGGAAGAGGAAGACTGGGATTAATTGTAGATTATCCAATTTTAAGAATATTTTATACATTTTTCTGTATATTATGTAATTATGATGTATTATTTTTAACATAAATAAAATATAAATGGTATTGTTAATAGTGTTCTCCATTTGTGAGTTTCCGGTGGGTTAAACCAGAAATAACAAAAATTTCTCTTAGTTGAAAATGTTTTTATAAAAACCGTTTTTAATCTACCTCAGCCTTGAACTCTTATACATTATTTTTCTTAATCAAATTTTCAACAGAAGTATCAATAAATAAACGCTTGAACTAAAACGGATACAAAATAGTACAAATACTAAAATCTAAATATTAAAATCCTGAGCCATAAATTTCATCCCAAGATATATACTGCTCTAAATCCTTTGGGGCAACACTAGACTTCACTCTAGTTAAGGCTTTTTCAAAATCTTCCATTAGTAGTGGCCTAACGTCGCTGGCTTGAATGTGTTCTATGAGATTAAAATCGATAGACCGTATCGGACCCAGAGACGCTTCCGAACACAAAGTTTTTATATCGGCCCCAGAAAAACCGGCCGACGAAGAAGCTATTTTTTCGAAGTCTTCATCTACGAGTTGGTGATTTTCATTGCAAATGAGTTTTTGAACTAGTTGAAGTCTAGCCTAAAAAATAACATTATACAAATTGGCGCACAATGTGGGGCTGTAATGTTAAGGCTTCAATATATTTTTTAAAGGGATTCTTTCATTGAAAATTACCTCGTATTCCGGCAAGGGTATATAGAGCCTCTTAACGAATCGTCTTCGAGCCGCTTCATCCAATTCCTGTGGTCTGTTAGTTGCGCCAATGACTAGTAACCTTTCTTCAGAATCAGTGGTGGCTCCATCTAATTGGACAAGAAACTCTGTTTTAATTCTGCGGGAACTTTCATGTTCTGTATCTGATCTTTGGGACAATAGGGAATCTACTTCATCAATAAATATCACCTAAAATATGACTAAAGTCGATTTGTTGCAAATTAAATCGTACTAAAACTAAAAATGTATTATATTTTTATGAAAATGTGCTATATTATTATATTGTATATGTATATTTTAATTACAGCAGGTTGATGAACTCGAGCTACTGCAAACAAGGCTCTAACCATCTTTTCACCATCCCCTATCCATTTTGAAGTTAGAGATGAAGCACTAATGCTAAAAAATGTTGACTTGCTTTGGGAAGCTACGCATTTTCCTAAAATAAAAACAATATGCCATATTTAACTAACTTTTAAACTGCTTACCAATTAAAGTCTTCCCAGTCCCTGGTGGTCCAAACAGGAGTATCCCTTTAGGAGGTTTTCTTAAACCTGTAAAGATATCTGGTCTAAGCATGGGCCAAACGACGGCTTCCTGAATGGCCGTTTTTGCGAATGCCAACCCAACTATATCATTCCAATGCAAACTGGTACTGCAATCCATTATTTCTGATTTAATAAGTTCTACCATTTTTGGTTCTATGTTTTTCAACCGTTCGTCAACTTTATCATCACTTTTAATATCTTCATTGCTGGAATATTGAAGAGTTATTAGTAGGAGTGCTCATAATCAGGATTTTCGATCTCATAATAGTCATAATGTGATGAATCCAGAAAACATTTAAACCGGTGAAGCAGAAATCGAACATTTTATAACCAGTTTAAATTTATGTCATCAGGGAATCATTGCATTTTTAGATTGAATAGAATCCAGGAAAAATAACTGACAATTTGACCGTTGCTCCTGGGATATAAAAAACATTCTGTCAATTTTTTGAGCTCCTGTACAGTTATCGCAATTCAGTAATATTACTATTAATTGCTATTATTTACACTAGAGGATAAAAACGATTACGTATTGTAAAGAGTGACACTTCATTTGAAAGTTAATTTTATTAATAATTTAATACACAAAATAACAAGGGTCAAATTTGGGGTATCTTCTCTTCCTTTTGTTCATAAATTATTCACTAACTGTAGTTAAAATATTTAAAATGGCTAATGATTTAAAAGTATATAACAAACTGTGATTGTATTATATTTAAAAAAGATTATGATAGTATTTATCCAGTGCATGCAGTACAAAATTTAAATTAAACTTTAATGTAAAAAATGAAGTGTCATTAGTGTATGACTAGACATAAGACATATGCAATGAATACAGGCGAACTAGCTGGACAAAATCTAATTGAAATACATTAGCTTTTAGTTTTTATATCAATAGAAGTTTGAGAATTTTCTTATGGATCCAATTATTATATTTTCACCAAATTTATATGGGACCACCCCTGAAGTATCCCCTTTCTAACAAAAAAAAAATCATTGAAATGGGACACCGTGTTAAAGAATTATCACTGAACATACATAGTCTAAGATCCGAAATAAGGTCGACCTTCACCCATCTGTTTACCGGATGAAAGTTTTTTTTTATTAAATAAAATATGTTTTTAAATATACCGCAAATGGGTTGCCTAAGAAAATTCGGTCCACACTATTTATTTTCTTAAAGTAAAAAAAACGACACCCTGTAAAGTATTCCCAAAATGCTTTGACTGTGCCCAAACTTTAATCAGCTCATCGCAGGATAGATTAAAGCTTAAGTTCAAAATTTGGTGTTTTTCTCTTCATCCGTTTTTGAGTTATCTTCAAAATTCGAAATTTGCACTTTCCATCAAATATCTCAAATTAGGTCCATTTCAGGAAAATCATGTATAGAGACAAAATAATAGAGAATGACATCATAAACAACTTTTATCATGATTCTTATACTTTCCTTATCTGTACACAGAGAGGAAAGTAAAAAATGGCCGTGACCGTATTTTCTTAGGCAACCCATTTGCGGTATATTTAAAAACAATTTTATTTAATAAAAAAAAAACTTTCATCCGGTAAACAGATGGGTGAAGGTCGACCTTACATACGGATCCTGGACTAACATGAGAAAATAGAATTTATAAAAAAAAACAACAATTTTGCTCCAGGAAAGTGTTAAATATCGAAGGTAAGTAGAAACATTTTCTCTGTATCTGTAACGTGTGAAGGATGGGTTACCTCACGGCACTTAGTCCATTTTGCATCCTCCTCAAGTAATCTATCTCTCTGATGGGCGCTTTCACGATTTCTTCAGGTTCTGGATATTGTACCCTGAAATGCCATTCCCGTTCCCATTTGAGGTTTCGACAATAGCATAATATGTGAATAGGAGTTTCGTCTTCCTCTTCACATATGCTACTTAGGGAGTCATCAGATATCCCTATTATGGCCTTTAGTTCGTTTCTGCAAAGGTTTAGCAGTTGATTTTTTCTGCTCTATGAATATTTTGGTCTATCCAAGTCCAGGAAGTTCCAACCAGAGCCTATGATGTTCTCTATTTATCTCTGTTCCGTTAGCATCCATTTAACATGTTGGTATGAAATACCACATGAGTTCTGATCGAGTGTTTTTCAAATCCCTTTCAGGGACTGTTGGCAATCAAATATTAATTTAGATTGTACTTCTACCCTTTTTAGTGTTTTAAGGGCTGCCTTTCTGCTTGTGATAATAAAAACCCTCTTATATCTAAAAGAGTTATTTAGCATAACTCTGGCGTAGGCATTTATTGCTATTACTTCAACCTGGCAACCTGGAAGACTTTTAGTGACCCCAGGTTCAGATTAATGGTCCTCCCTGAGTTCACATGGTAAAAATCCCAGTTCCTGTGCTGTTTTTCGTCTTCGAATCGTCTGTATACCGATTGATTCGTTTTGTATTTCCCTATTTTCCCGGCTTTTGGCCCTTTCTGGTATTTGAATATCGAAAGGTTTTCTAAAGTCATGAATAATAGATGTTCTATCCGATGGCATTCTTAACAACGGATTTTGTTTTAATTTCTCTAATATCATTATTTGGTGTCCTTTTTTTGGAAAGTCCCCATCCAAATCCATTCGTGAACAGCATGCCCCCGCCATATCCTGATAATTTACCACAAGGTGTAATAGAGGAATAGCTAGCAGTAGTAGTAGTAATTATACTGCGACCTAAAAGATCTATTGTGTCCCCTTCTGTCGCTAATGCAGAAACGAAATGTCTCAAAGCCTATAACGACCCTCCTAATCCTATCTTCTGAAGGAAGTGTAGGATTTGGAGTGCCTTCAAGTTAGGTAAATCTCCCTCTTCTATTTGAAATGCTCCCTTAGCTATAGTGCCCTTGGATTCTGGAGTGCTACACATTTAGTCAAAATGTGAATGGAGGTTTCGTATATATAAGCATGTTCCTTCCAGTGATATTACTTCTGCTAACTTCTTTTGCTGCTATGAGAATCATTGTAAGCTCCGTTTGAACTACACTGGCATTATTGCTCACAATCCATTTATATTCCCCATCTATATTCCCCATCCTAAACCTTGTTTTGTTTTAAAACCGTCGGTGTAGATATGAATTGTTCCTGCCACTTTCGACCATTCTGTTTGTTTCGTTATAACTTGATATGACTTATGATGGAAGATATATCTCGGTAGGAACACCTTGTTTTTGTTTTCTTAACTTTATAAGGAATTCAGCAATATGACTTCATTGAATTACTTTTGATTTTAACGTTCTCTAGCAGAAAAAAAAAACATACATATTTTAAATTGTCCCAACTAAATCAAAACCTTTAATGAAAAATGTATTTTTTAGTAGTGCGTAGTGGTCTGCCGTATCTACTACCTTGCTTCAAGCTTTAAATACATTAATGAGTTTTAACTGTGTGATTTTTAACTGGGTTTTTTGGCATTGTATCTAACCAATGACCTAGTCTCAATTTGGATTTTATTAATGTGTCTTCTGTATATGCTTTGTTATTGATTCATAAGAATTTTACAAATAGCACTGTTAATCAGAAATCAACAATAAACGGTCGAGTGGAGAATACTACCTATGCATTAGAGTTAATGTTTAATTATATTCATTAAAAAAGTACGAACCTCTCGTATCGATGGAGCCAAAAATCCAGATTCTAAATACTGAGCTACCTATTCCTTGATATTTTGTTTATAGTCAAAGAATGTAAATGACATACTTTTAAAGATTTTGATTATTCTAAGAGAGAATTAAAAAGAGAAAGCCTACAGGCAAGGATCCTGAAATAAAATGCAAAAATCGATAATGAAGGAATATTTTAAACTACATTTAATTCACAAGATTGCCCTTAAAAAAAACATAAATATAACCGGCTTCAAAACAATTACAAATAATCCTTTTAAAGAAAAAACATGGGAACAAATTAGAATTTGCATATACTTTTAAAAAACAAAAACCAGGGAAAACATTTCTCCACGACCACTACTGAATGTAGTTCTTCCGAAATCACTTATAATAAAAGAAAGAAAAAATTCTCGCACTTGCCTATTAGGTATTTTACACATATTTCATTCTAAATCTAGAGACAGAATGTTTATTATTTAATACCCAGACAGCACACCAAATCCTTTGGATATTTACTGGACATCCCAATATCCACTGAATGTCCAGTCCATGGTGGATATCTATTTTATATACATGAGATGTAATTTATAGACATGCAAATGTCCATAAATAATAGTAATTATACAGTGCTTCTCAAAAGTCCCCTCCCCCCTCTTTTCTTTTGAACGGTGATACTTAGATTGATGAAATTTGGAGGGTGAAAATGAACTATTGTAAGCTTCTCTACTAGTGGTAACAGGTGACGTAATAGGCATCGGTGACGTTACCAGGAAACTGAAACCAATAATATTAAATGGGACCTTATATCAAGTGACACTTCGTTTAAAAGGTATTCTAAATACCTATTCAATTATACTATTTTTTTGGATTTACGATGTCTTTGATGGTTAAAATAAGGTCCTATTTAATATTATTGGTATCAATTGCCTGGTGATGTCACCGATGCCTTTTACGTCACCTATTACCACTGGTAGAGAAGCTTACAATAGTTCATTTTCACCCTCCAAATTTCATCAGTCTAAGTATCACCGTTCAAAAGAAAAGAGGGGGGAGGGGACTTTTGAGAAGCACTGTATAGCAAATTATTAAAAAATTACGCCGTTGTGCTCGCCATTGTGGCTAATAGTACCGTTCAGATATTTAAAATGAATTTTTTTAAGGTGTATTCAATATCCCATGGGCATCCACTAAATATATCAAAGTCTGGGCGCGAACGCAAACCATGGTGGATATCCACTAGATGTAATTTTTGATTTTGCCCACTAAGAAGAAAGTCATTCTTGGACCGGTTTCGTCCTTATTAGGACTAGAATTATTTCGTTTTTTAAGAATAGCCCGCCTGGCTTTTATTCCACCTAGTCTCTGAACTAGGTACTACAGCGACCTTTGATTTTGCTTACTAAGTATAGATGGCGATACCACTTTCGCTCGTTGAATATCTACTCATGCTCAACCCGCCGTAATTGAGTTCCGATCGAAATTGGTATTGCAATCAGACTCCATTAGAGACTGGATTCGAGAATTTCTATTTATTGCTGAAGAGTCCTAATAAGGATGACTTTCTCCTTAGTGGGCAAAATCAAAGGC